GCATTCAACTCAAACTTGATATATGGATATGTCATGAGAAAATACAGGTCAAGTTCGAATTTGGTCATGGTTCGATGATTTTTGGCAGAGTTATGCCCCTTTTACTTTGAAAATAATATGAAATTTTCAGTTTCCGTTCATTATCTCCCCAACGGTACAACACATTCAACTCAAACTTGATATATGGATATGTCATGAGAAAATACAGGTCAAGTTCGAATTTGTAAATGGTTCGATGATTTTTGGCAGAGTTATGCCCCTTTTACTTTGAAAATAATATGAAATTTTCAGTTTCCGTTCATTATCTCCCCAACGGTACAACATATTCACCTCAAATTTGACATATAGATATGTCATGAGAAAATACAGGTCAAGTTCGAATTTGGTCATGGTTTGATGATTTCTGGCAAAGTTATGCCCCTTTTACTTTGAAAATAATGTGAAGTTTTCAGTTTCCGTTCATTATCTCCCCAAAGGTACAACACATTCAACTCAAACTTGACATATGGATGCGTCAAAGGAATGCGCAGGTCAAGTTCAAATTTGGTCATGGTTCAATGATTTTTGGCAGAGTTATGCACCTTCACTTTGAAAGTAATATGAAATTTTCAGTTTCCGTTCATTATCTCCCCAATGGTACAACACATTCAGCTCAAATTTGACATATGGATATGTTTTTGGAATGCCCAGGCCAAGTTTGAATTTGGTCATGGTTCAATGATTTTTGGCAGAGTTATGCCCCTTTCACTTTGAAAATAATATGAAATTTACAGTTTCTGTTCATTATCTACCCAACAGTGTTACATATTCAACTTAAATTTGACATATGGATATGTCAAAGGAATAGGCAGGTCAAGTTGGAATTTGGTCATGGTTTGATGATTTTTTGGCAGAGTTATGTCCCTTTCACTTTGAAAATAATATAGATACATCTTAGGAATAAGCAGTTTAAGTTTGAATTTGGTCATGGTTCAATGATTTTAGACAAACTTATCTTTCCTGAATGTTGGAAAAATTTTGAACTTTCAGTTTCAGCACTCATACTTTTAACCATTATTTTGGCTACAAATATGCAATATGCTATTTTTAAAAGGTTAAGACTGAATAATTTCAGTGCCTTGAACATTGTATGAAAACGGTTTCTGTTAACATGGAAAAGTTTTAAGGGCTTTGAACTTAAAATGAAACAAATATTTAATGCACCATCTGAAATTGTGGCTGCATGCGGGGGCATCCGTGGCATGATGACACATTTCTAGTTTTTAAAAATCCCACTATCAAAATTATAGTTATAACTAGATATGAAAAAGGCAAAGCCTTAAAGCGAGCTCGATTTACTTTTAAAGTGAAATAGTATAAAATAATCTTTATTTTTACATTTACATTTTCCGTTTTAAAATTGTCATTCGGTATTTTATTCACTGCTTCCCGTTTATTCTGGTTCCCTGTCTAATTATGGTTCCCATATAAGTGCGCAAGACACCAGTCTACGCTTCCGTTTTCAATCAGAATACCTCGGGTTTTATCGTCATCTTGTAATTCGAAAAGTTGTGATGTGTCACGTCAGTACTTCGGACGAAAGTTTTCAAAAGCATCACTATCTAACAGGTTGCGTAACCGTAAAGCTCGCTTTATAGGGCCAGCTCGTCGAGCTCGCTATTATTTTGATAGTGGGGTTTTATTTTTTTTTTCAAATTTATAGGTAGTTTTGTATTTGATATCATATAGTAAGACTCAGAGTGTTGAATTCGTTTTTTTTTCAGGGTTGTAGGAGAGGTCCAGGGGCAGGGGTGGGTGGTTGTCCAAACACTGATTCTGCCACCTGTGGTCATAAGAGACACATTAGAAACGGTGCACCGTGAGAATGACACAGTCGTACTAAATAACAATAACATACGCCTTTAGCTTTTATGAAAATTAAATAGGTATTACGTTTTTCTGTTTTCAATCCTAGAGAGTTTCACATAAATATCTTAGTATATATGATCACTATTGTTAAATCAATCAAAGTGCGCCAATCGTTGTATGGTTATATTAAAGTAAGAGATTGTCGGTCTTTCCTTTTGTTTAAAAGGAGGATTTCTAATCGGAATGTACTAGTAACCGGGGATAAAATGTCTCAATTGTGTTTGTGCTAATCAAGTCTTCTTACTGAAAGCTTCCAAAAAGGTAATAATGAACGGAAGTTGCAGTTGTTTGTTATTGTATAACATGGTATACATTGGAGTATGTATGCTTGCATGATAAGATACAAAATTGTCTTTATCCACTGAAAAAAGCTTTGAAATTCGATCAAGGTCCAACAACTTCAAGCTTACTTTGAATTTCTATTTAACTGAAAATCAAAGGTCACAATTTTTCCAGCTTAATTGATTATTGTTATTATTATAACTTTAAGCTGATTAATGATAATATAGATAAATTTCTCGGGCTGTGCGCCGTATATAGTGGAGAACGGAAACGCGCACAAATAACATGGCTCCTACATTAAAGACTGTTAACAAAACTAGATAATTGCGTGTTACTTTTATGTCAAAATTATTAACTTCATTGATATAGAAGAAAGTTATATCGCAATGATAACTATATATACTTTGACTATTTTTGTTCGGAAGCATTCGCAAGGAGTGAGACTATTTACAGTGTTCATTATTTTCCGGTATATTCCGGAGCTTCCAGCGGGTTTTAACATGACTCGTTGGTTATTTTTTATGTCCCAAAATATACATGAACACTTCTTCTTGTAAATGAAAACCAAGTTTTTTCAACACTTCTTGTATTTCCTGAATTACTCTAACCTATTAATACCAGCAAGGACAGTGAAATTTAGCGCACTTACTATGAAGTCGTTTGCATCCGCTATCAGGGAGAAAACCGAAGAAAATCAAAGCACAGAAGGCGCTGAATTTGTTTGGTCTCAGAAAGTCAGAAAGGTGAAGGTTGTGAGATTATAAACCAATTTGTTTTTGTATAGTGCCACTAATGCTTTCCAGCGTTTTAATTGTAGTTAACTTGCTATAAGACTAATTGCAACACTGATATTCAATTCAATGTTTATTTGACTTAAACAATTTGAAAAAAAAATGTGTCGCCTTCACTGGGATTTGAACTCCAGATCTCTCGTTTCCCAAGCGAGCGCGCAAACCCCTCGGCCACGGTGCAGTTATATGTAAATGGCCTGAAGAAAACCATATTATTCTAAATTAGGGTTTGTAACCCTTATTATTTCGACTTTAACACAGATGTAAATAATCATGGAGCTTACTATAAGCATGTATATCTATAAAGAATCAAACAATAGTAGAAATATTCGACCATTCGGGAACTTTTTTGCTTGAAAATTAATGCGCCTGTCATTTGACCATCTTTACGCAGTGATCTCCCCTGAATTTTTCGGCTTTAGTGTATATATATAGAGAAGTAACCGCTTCAAAAAAGCGGACTACTTTCGGCATTTGCAATTAACAGCATCAGAGTCTGAAATTCCGCTACCATTATTTTTTTGGTCTGACGACCCAAACAAATAAAAATTAATAGTAACTAAATAAATTATACGCGGTCTTAGATAACATGTATGACTTGTATAAGTTAAATTGAAATCACATTTAAATCCAGTAAAAATATAATGTCTAATTCTAACATGTTAGACGCCGCCAATTTGAAACTCTTGGACTGGTACATGTACTATATTTGAGTTTTAATTAGATTTCAAGACGTTTTTGAAAAGAAACATGTTGTAAAAGCGCCAACAAAATTAAGACTGTTGCTAGTGGCAGTCTTCTGTCCTGAAGAAGATTTCCGATAGAAGTATGATGTAGAAAATCAGTAAATAAATATTATTATTATTTAGAAGAACTGAAGTAACGATGATGAAAATAAGAAATTACTTTTTAATATCCATTTTGATAAATCATCACGTTTGAATAAATTAAAAACTATTTTGATTAGAGATTAACAAAAAATGACGGATGAGATATTCGGAAATATTCGGAATACTTCCATGATAGGCTGGACATCACCTATTCATTCGTATCTTAAAATTTACTCATTATTTGACAGATCCTGTGTATATATATTGAACACTTTATGCTTGTTACTAAATCATAAGGGCTTTCTGCGTCAAAGGTAGCTCCATATTTCATATCACAATTGTACGAGTACTTATTTTCAAATATAGGAGAGTAATTTAAATAATTTGAAAACATACGAGATACACGTATAAGAAAAGATCTATTTCAGATACTTCAGGAAGAGATTTATGGAATATATGATTGGTGCCGAGCTTTATCGAGCCAAGATTCACTTTCCTAAGAACCAGAACTCCGATCCCCAATATCAACCATATATTCAAATAATCCTTTTTAGCTAGTTAACCAGGTTTTCCGAAGGAAAAAACTGGTTATTAGATTAAGGTATGTCGGCGGACGGGCGGGCGGGCGTTAACAATTTCTTCTGTGCGCAACTCCTCCTACATTTCTCAACGGATTTTGACCAAACTTTCACAGAAGCTTTGTCATCAAGTGCCCTGGCGCATATTGTCGGGGTTTTGCCATTGGATAATATTTGACCTAATTATGGCCCTTTGTTGTTTTTTCTTATATAGAATATATATTGAACAATTTCTTCTGTGCGCAACTCCTCCATCATTTCTCAACGGATTTTGACCAAACTTTTACAGAAGCTTTGTCATCAAATGCCCTGGCACATATTGTCGGTGTTTTGCGATTGGATAATATTTGACCTAATTATGGCCCTTTGTTGTTTTTTCTTATATAGAATATATAGTGAACAATTTCTTCTGTGCGCAACTCCTCCTATATTTTTCTACGGATTTTGACCAAACATTTACAGAAGCTTTGTCATCAAGTGCCCTGGCACATATTGTCCGGGTTTTGACATTGGATAATATTTGACCTAATTATGGCCCTTTGTTTTTGTTCCTTGTATAGAATATATAGTGAACAATTTCTTCTGTGCGCAACTCCTCCTACATTTCTCAACGGATTTTGACCAAACTTTTACAGAAGCTTTGTCATCAAGTGCCATGGCACTTATTGTCCGGGTTTTGCCATTGGATAATATTTGACCTAATTATGGCCCTTTTGTTTTTTATCCTTATATAGAATATATAGTGAACAATTTCTTCTGTGCGCAACTCCTCCTACATTTCTCAACGGATTTTGACCAAACTTTCACAGAAGCTTTTTTATCAAGTGCCCTGGCACATATTGTCGGGGTTTTGTGATTGGATAATGTTTGATGTAATTATGGCCCTTTGTTTTTTTCCTTATACAGAATATATAGTGAACAAATTCTTCTGTGGCAATTCCTCCTACATTATTTATGTTTTACATTGCACATAGTTACATTGTTAATATTTTACCTAATTATGCCCCTTTGTTTTTTTTCCTTATACAGAATTATCAATATATAGTGAACAAATTCTTCTGTGCTGAACTAGTCCTACATTTCTCAACAGATTTTGTTCAAACTTTCACAGAAGCTTTGTCATCATGTGCCCTGGCGCATATTGTAGAGGTTTTGTGATTGGATAATTTTTGACCTAATTATGGCCCTTTGTATTTTTTCGTTATACAGAATACATTTTTTCCTTATACAGAATATACAGTGACGCTTCTTCTGTGGCAATTCCTCCTACATTATTCATGTTTTACATTGCACATAGTTACATTGTTAATTGCTTGCATTTGTATTACAAATACAACATATTTATCTACAATGGAGATAATTGAAAACCTGGTTTCGTGGCATTGCCATGTTTCTTGTTTTATCATGTTCTTATATTATTTTAATAGTACCATTATTATTCTTTCCCGACAAAACAGTTTCAACGTGTAATTTAGGGTTGCCGCATCACCGCCTGTATTTAAGTAGATATTGCTCCGCGTAAGAAAAGTGTTCAAGTAATGTCCTTAAATAAAATCTTTTTTCACAAATACTCAAATTAATTTCATCCAAACAATTTCTTTTACATTATAATATATACTTCAGGCAACAATTAACATAAAATACAATTAGGGTAGAACGCGACACTTTGCGAACTTTCGAGTAGCGTCATGTAAAATGTTGACATATTTCAGATTAGAATCCGTTGAATTTTTTTTAATAGTTTCAGCCAATTTTTGTACACGACGTCAAAGTTGACCAACAAAGACCGTTCGCTGCGTATCCTTGACAACTGTTACGGGGACTACCACGCCACCGGCAAACACATTATCTAAAATGCTGCTGTATTCAACGGAAATTGTTTTATTTTTCTTTATGCTGATATAAATATTTGTGTTAAAATTCCTCTATAAATGACATTATGACCACTGCAGATATACCGAAGTGTACGGAATTCTACATAAATTATTATAAATAGGTATGAAATTTAAAATACGGAGGTGTGCAGGGCCGTACATGTATATCATGCAATACGTACATAACTAATATCGTTATTCGTACATTCGAAATATACGGCAACTTTGTTGTACGTAGTCTTTACTTTACTTAAATACGGATCTTTTTTATTAAAAGTCCGCAAATTCCTAAAATACAAAATTTCGTATTCTTGCAAATACGGATTCTGTATACAAAAATAAAGAACCAAGATGTAATCCTGAATTACCATTTTCTTTTAAAGGAAAGAAATAGTGTGATCTGACATTTGTCAGAAAACATAAAAAAGAAAAGCTTTGAAAAATGTAATATTTTCCGGTTTTATTAACATATCAATTGCATACTGATTTTATGGTCAGTTAACAGAACATATAAACATCAAAGAGCCTCGACAGTGTCCGTTGCAAGTACACACAAAAGAACCTACTCAAATTTCCCAAATTTTCCCCGAATGGAACTGTCCTGTATTGAAAGAAACCAACTAAACTTGATGTAAAAGACAATATTTAAAGAACATGTGTCAAATGTGTATCTTTAAAGATTTTTGTTTATTCATTAACTACAATTTGAGAATATTTTCTTTTTAAGTATAAATGTGAAAAAAGAACAAATCTGACAAAAGTTAAAAAGATGAACACTTACGGAAATTCATTTGCAGTGTAATATAACGTAACGTCAATATACACGCTAGTGTCAATAGTTTAACGAACATTGAACGTTAAAAACCATGACAGTCTTGAAAAGATTGGTTGCAATAAGTTGATTCTTAAAAAAAGTTCAATCGAATTGAAATTCTTGTCTTTAAATTTTTCGAATTTCGATCTTTGAGCTGGCTCGAAATTCAACTGCAGCTTGAAATTCGGGTTTTTAAAAATTTTGAATTCCGATCTTCGAGTTGGCACGATATTTAACTCCAGCTCGTAATTTGGGTTTTGAAAATTTTGAATTTCGATCTTCGAGCTGGCTCAAAATTCAACTCCAGCTCGAAATTTGGGTTGTGAAAATTTTAAATTTCGGTCTTCGAGCTGGCTCGAAATTCAACTCCAGCTCGAAATTCGGGTTTTTGAAAATTTTGAATTCCGATCTTCGAGCTGGCACGATATTTAACTCCAGCTCGAAATTCGGGGTTTGAAAATTTTGAATTTCGATCTTCGAGCTGGCCAGCTCGAAATTCGGGCTTTGAAAATTTTGAATTTCGATCTTCGAGCTGGCTCGAAATTCAACCCCAGCTCGAAAGTCGTGTTTTGAAAATTTTGAATTTTGATCTTCGAGCTGGCACGGAATTCAACTCCAGCTGAACATTCGGGTTTTAAAAAATTTTGAATTTCGATCTTCGAGCTGGCTCGAAATTCAACTCCAGCTCGAAATTCGGGTTTTTGAAAATTTTGAATTTCGATCCTCGAGCTGGCTTAAAATTCATCTCCAGCTCGAAATTCGCGTTGTGAAAATTTTGAATTTCGGTCTTCGAGCTGGCACGATATTTAACTCCAGCTCGAAATTCGGGCTTTGAAAATTTTGAATTTCAATCTTCGAGCTGGCTCGAAATTCAACCCCAGCTCGAAATTCGGGTTTTGAAAATTTTGAATTTTGATCATCGAGCTGGCACGAAATTCAACTCCAGCTGAACATTCGGGTTTTGAAAATTTTGAATTTTGATCTTCGAGCTTGCTCGAAATTCAACTCCAGCTCGAAATTTGGGCTTTGAAAATTTTGAATTTCGAGCTACCTCTAAATTCAACTCCGGCTCGAAATTCGGGTTTTGAATATTTTGAATTTCGATCTTCGAGCTGGCTCGAAATTCAACTCCAGCTCGAAAATCGATTTTTTTCTTTTTATATACGAATAGTCTTAAGAACTTTATTATGTCTCGTTTTTTCATATTTATAACATTTCTACAACTGTAAAATTTCCGGCTTTTTAAATACAAAGAGCTAGGTTCACTAAGCACTGAAAATGGCCCAACCACAGAAATTGATGAAAATCCCTCTAATGATAGTTAAATATTTCTAATTGATAAAATTAACATTCTTGATCATAAAAAACGGGCTATTTATACTTTGCGGAACGGAACGAAACAAACATTGAGGCACCACACGGAGCACAGCAATTTTTTTACTAATATGTAAATATATTAAATAAAAATAATGAAATATTGAAACTGCCTAGCAAACAGTCGATCTAGGGATTTTTCGAACTGAACCATCTGAATACACACTTCTAAATGGACATTATTTATATAAAATCTTCGGGACTGCAAACAGTTGTTCCGTTTCGTTCCGCAAAGTATAAATATCCTATAGAATAATGATATTCTACGGAACGGAACGGAACAAGATTTATTTTTTCTTGTCAATGGAATTTTTATTATTCATATAAACTGACGAATGAAAAAAATGAGTGGACAATCTAAATATTTTTGGCGATATCAGGACCTCTTTAATATGTATCGAATGACCGTCATATCCAGTTCACTCATTTTGTATAATATAAAATTCTAAAAAATATTTATAATCATCGTAAACAAATTAAATTTGAAAACATGCTTGCCTTATATAAATTGATATTACATGCACTAATAAAGCTGAAATATTACTATTACAGTCAGCATTGTGTACAAACCATGTCTTCAACTCTATTTATTGTGATTCCGTTTCGTTCCGCAAAGTATAAATTTCCCCTAGCATAATGATATTTAGCGGAACGGAACGAGATTTGTTATTCAATACCCATTTCCTCCTTTATAATGCTTGTATAAATAATCATTCATGATGCATAAACAAAATCGCAGGCTCCCTATCCTGCTAATGAAGACTCGTCACTTTTAGAAGTCACAACATATAAATCAAATACAGAAATGTGGAAACTATCTTTGTTTGTTTGGGGTCTAACACCGTTTTCAACAGTGTTTCAGTTATGTAACGATGGGCAGTTACCCTAAACAGTGTTCCTGGATTCTGTACCCGTACTTACCTGTTCTCCGCAAGTAACTGCCAACTTCCCAGCATGAATCAGAGGTGGAGGACGAATGTTGTCACACACAATGTGTTATCAAATCGGCACGGAGAAAATGGCCCGCCCGAGGATCGAACGGCTTGCGACTTTGCAATCCGAAGACCGGCGCTCTTACCTACAGATCTAAGTGTGCGGGTTGGAAACTATATTATTATCGTAAACAAATTAAATTTGACAACATGTTGGGATTATGATGGAGAACAAGTGTGCAACGTTTCAAAGCCATATGTCAATGGAATTATAAAATATTTGAGGTGGTATACAGTCAGCGTTGTGTATAAACCATGTCTTCAATACTATTTATTGTGATTTCGTTTCGTTCCGCAGAGTATAAATATCCCCTAGGATAATGATATTTAGCGGAACGGAACAAGATTTAATAATTGTTATTTATGACTAATTTCCTCCTTTATAATGCTTGTATAAACTTCACTTATAAATATTCATTCATGGTGCATGAACGAAATAGCAGATTACCTATCCTGCTAATGAAGACTCGTCACTTTGTTTTTAGAAATGACGACATATAAATCAAATACAGAAATGTGGAAACTATCTAATTATCGTACACAAATTAAATTTGAGAACATGTATATATATATAATTTGAAATTACATGCACTAATAAAGCTGAAATTTCACTATTACAGTCAGCGTTGTGTTCAAACCTTGTCTTCAACTCTATAAATTGTGATTCCGTTTCGTTCCGCAAAGTATAAATATCCCCTAGGATAAGTAATAGATATACCATTGCTGCGTTGACGATTTCTGGGTTTGCGTCAATTATACCATAATCACGTGACCTTCCTTATGCAACCTCACTCGACTTCGTCTCGTGAGGTTAAGGCATAAGAAAGGTCACGTGATTATGGTATAATTGACGCAAACCCAGAAATCGTCAACGCACCAATGGTGTATCTGTTTTAACCTATAGCTTCGCCCAGAAACACTTACTCCTTCGATCTTCAAAACTGAAAATTATACCAGTCTGGGTATGGTATAATTTACGGTTATTGGAACTTATACTTGGAAGAATTTTACATAAGAAGCGCTGAAGAGCTATAGGTTAATGATATTTAGCTTACGGAAGCGAACAAGATTTGTGACTGCCAACTTCCCCACATGAATCAGATCAGAATCATTTGTCAAACTAAATGACTTATCATCTTCATGGAGAACATTGCCCACCCAAGGATCGAACTCGCGACACTGATGTTCCTACCTACTGATCTAAGCGGGCGGGTTGGAAAGTAATATAATTATCGTAAACAAATTAAATTTGAAAACATATTGGCCATATATAATTTGAATATGCATGAACTAATAAATGATAACGAAGTAAGTCATTGAGTTATTCAGTATGAATGTAAGCGCTGTTGGACATCTTCAAAGAACCCCTTCCCTCACCCATATTCGGAATATCTTACCTGTTCTGTCCGTTCAAATGTAATGTGTGAAATGAAACAGAAAAGGCAAATCGATAGCATGGTGATAAGTTTAATGTTCTGAAACATAGCAGTGTTTTAAAATACTCGACATAACTTCAAAGCCTTAGAAATTAAAGTTTGTTTAATTTCGACAAAACGTCATTTTTATTAAATAGCATTTGTCCAACCAAAAGATTTGAAACTAAAATTTAAAAATACCATTTATTTAAGCCATAATCAATGTTGTGACCTCAGTATCGCCCCTACATACATGCTTATAGTCTTAAATTGTAGCTATGACATATGCCTACATGTCTATGTTTGTTTATTTTTGCGTTTATTTATCGTCGCCACCGGTTGCCCATATGGGCGACGCCTCCAGGAGAGTGTTAGTGATTTTAGGTTGCGGAGGATAGCGCAAGATACAGAAGACACTCCAATTCCAGAAGCTTCACTGGTTCTTTAGCGTGCCAGATGCAGATAGAACATCAATACGGGACCTCGGTTTAAAGTCTGTCTATGTATCATATGTATCTATGCCCATCGTTACATGACTGAAATACTGTTGAAAACGGTGTTATAGTTTCCACATTTCTGTATTTTATTTATATGTTGTGATTTCTAAAAGTGACGAGTCTTCATTAGCAGGATAGGTAGCCTGCGATTTTGTTTATGCATCATGAATGGTTATTTATATGTGAAGTTTATACAAGCATTATAAAGGAGGGAATGGGTATTGAATAACAAATCTTGTTCCGTTCCGTTCATTATCCTAGGGGATATTTATACTTTGCGGAACGAAACGAAATCACAATTTAAAGAGTTGAAGACAATGTTTTTACACAACGCTGACTGTAATAGTTATATTTCAGCTTTATTAGTGCATTTAATTTCAAATTATATATGGCAAAAATGATTTCAAATTTAATTTGTTTGCGATAATTATATAACTTTCCAACCCGCCCGCTTAGATCAGTAGGTAGGAGCATCAGTGTCGCGAGTTCGATCCTTGGGTGGGCAATGTTCTCCATGAAGATGATAAGTCATTTAGTCTGACATCATTTGTACTCCACCTCTGATTCATGTGGGGAAGTTGGCAGTCACAAATCTTGTTCGGTTCCGTAAGCTAAATATCATTATCCTAGGGGAAATCTTGTTCCGTTCCGTTCCGCTAAATATCATTATCCTAGGGGATATTTATACTTTGCGGAACGAAACGGAATCACAATTTATAGAGTTGAAGACAAGGATTGTACACAATGCTGACTGTAATAGTGATATTTCAGCTTTATTAGTGCATGCACATTCAAATTATATGGCAAACATGTTTTTAAATTTAATTTGTTTACGATAATAATATAGTTTCCAACACGCACACTTAGGTCTGTAGGTAAGAGCGTCGGTCTTCGGATCGCAGAGTCGCAAGTTCGATCCGGGAAGTTGGCAGTTACTTGCGGAGAACAGGTAAGTACGGGTACAGA